AACAGAACTAGAACAGAACTAGAACAGAACTAGAACAGAACTAGAAACAGAACTAGACAGACTAGAACAGAACTAGAACAGAACTAGAACAGAACTAGAACAGAACTAGAACAGAACTAGAACAGAACTAGAACAGAACTAGAACAGAACTAGCATAGAACTAGCATAGAACTAGAACAGAACTAGAACAGAACTAGAACAGAACTAGAACAGAACTAGCATAGAACTAGCATAGAACTAGAACAGAACTAGAACAGAACTAGAACAGAACTAGAACAGAACTAGAACAGAACTAGAACAGAACTAGAACAGAACTAGAACAGAACTAGAACAGAACTAGAACAGAACTAGAACAGAACTAGAACAGAACTAGAACAGAACTAGAACAGAACTAGAACAGAACTAGAACAGAACTAGAACAGAACTAGAACAGAACTAGAACAGAACTAGAACAGAACTAGAACAGAACTAGAATAGAACTAGAACAGTTAGTTAGAACAGAACTAGAACCTTTACCTTTGTGGTAACAATTAAGAGTTGGTAATAAAACTTAAATCAATTTTAAATCGTATTAATATGTACTTTATTGCAGCGGCCTCCTCTATAAACTATAAATCTTAATTTATATACAAATTCCTACTTTTCAAATGACCCTTTTTAGAAAAAACCCACATTTTTATATAGCAGCCACAAAAAAGGTCAATTTAATTTTCATAAACTAAACAACTACCGCCAAACATTAGACTATAAAACTTTATTTCCTCTGCAATCGCTGCGAACAAGAAAAAGATACTTTCAGAATTGTTTATTTAGTTAGAAGCTGTATGTGTATGTATTTTGTTTATTTCTTTTAATCTCAAACTAAAATGCTATAAAAATCATTTAAAATGCTAATATCCTTAGTTTATAGACCCATTTCATTTTGACTTTAATTATTGTTATTGCCAAAGTTAACAATCTGTCTGTCTACAAGACAGTATAAAACCAAGCAACAGAAACTACATTAAACTAGAAAATGTGAAAACAAAATGAAAAAAAAAAAAAAAAACAAATGAAAACTAAAATGTTAATACACATTTTGCTTCTGTGAATGCGCCTTTTATGTTGTGAATGCTGAAAGTACAACACATTCTCATAAATGTAGAACTATGTAAAAAATCTGCTTTGGTTGAGATTGTAAAAGTCTGCTTTTCTGTTTGCTGTAACAACTGCACTAGACTAAGCAACCGGACTAACAACTATCTAATCAAACTTTGTTTTCCTTAGCATGTATTTTCCCGAGTTTTTTAATACAACTTCTTTTAAAGCCGCCTATTTTCTTATGAACGCAAAAAGAAACATGATTCTAAAGCAGTGATGGGCACCACTCATACATGTGTAGAACAGAAAACAAGTTGTTCAAGAAAGAAAATTTCGGAATAGCCATTGAATTCAATGGTTTAGCGGAAAGCAGTCCAAGTCGCTCAGACATTGCTTAGGAAATATTTCAGAAAATGCCCCTAACTGTTCTAAACTCTTAGAAGTTGCCAACAGTTGCCTTTTTTTTAATTTACCAAAGTATTTTTAATGTATTTTCCTGAGTTTGTCTCTCTACTTTATAGCTCACAGCAAGAGTATGAGATTTTCTTTTTCTCTACTATACCTTTTATTTGCTATAGAGCGCATCAGAAAACAAACTGTCATTTAGTTAATCATGGGTAAGACGATACGATGTCTGCTCAGCAGCTACAAGGCTACAATATTTAAATTCTTTTTACAATTTTTTTTTTCTTTCATCTTTGTTCTTCAGTCTTTGCTATCCAAAACTATTTGTAAAGGAATTAATTTAAATTGAAGTTTAGAAGTGAATACAACAACAAAAAATAACGACAACAACAAATAATTTAAATGAAGGAGCCAAAGAAAAAATTAATCGAAACTAATGCTAAACAAAAACATCTTTAGTAGCAGTAAAAATACTGGGCATTTAGCTATTGGTTGGTTGGGTGTTGCTTTAACAAAATGGGCTATTTAATTTAATTATGCTTTAGCATTTAATTGAAAAGTAATTGTATATAATTAAAATAAATGGATTCCTATTGTTGTAAATAGGAATTTTTTACAATAATTTAAAGTTTAAGGTAAGAAACCGATAAAAATTAGGGGAAAATTTAGATTTTCATTGAAGTATTATACTAGTTCTGGTTCAATTCTAGTTCTGTTCTAGTTCTGTTCTAGTTCTTTTTTAGTTCTGTTCTAGTTCTGTTCTAGTTCTGTTCTAGTTCTGTTCTAGTTCTGTTCTTGTTCTGTTCTAGTTCTGTTCTAGTTCTGTTTTAGTTCTGTTCTAGTTCTGTTCTAGTTCTGTTCTAGTTCTGTTTTAGTTCTGTTCTAGTTCTGTTCTAGTTCTGTTTTAGTTCTGTTCTAGTTCTGTTCTAGTTCTGTTCTAGTTCTGTTCTATTTCTGTTTTAGTTCTGTTCTAGTTCTGTTCTAGTTGTGTTCTAGTTCTGCTCTAGTTCTGTTCTAGTTCTGTTCTAGTTCTGTTTAGTTCTGTTCTAGTTCTGTTTTAGTTCTGTTCTAGTTCTGTTCTAGTTCTGTTGTAGTTCTGTTATAATTTTGTTCTAATTCTGTTCTAGTTATGTCCTAACTAACTGTTCTAGTTCTGTTGTAGTTCTGTTCTAGTTCTGTTGTAGTTCTGTTCTATTTCTGTTCTAGCTCTGTTCTAGTTCTGTTCTAGTTCTGTTCTAGTTCTGTTCTAGTTCTGTTCTAGTTCTGTTCTAGTTCTGTTCTAGTTCTGTTCTAGTTCTGTTCTAGTTCTGTTCTAGTTCTGTTCTAGTTCTGTTCTAGTTCTGTTCTAGTTCTGTTCTAGTTCTGTTCTAGTTCTGTTCTAGTTCTGTTCTAGTTCTGTTCTAGTTCTGTTCTAGTTCTGTTCTAGTTCTGTTCTAGTTCTGTTCTAGTTCTGTTCTAGTTCTGTTCTAGTTCTGTTCTAGTTCTGTTGTAGTTCTGTTATGATTTTGTTCTAATTCTGTTCTAGTTATGTCCTAACTAACTGTTCTAGTTCTGTTGTAGTTCTGTTCTATTTCTGTTCTAGTTCTGTTCTAGTTCTGTTCTAGTTCTGTTCTAGTTCTGTTCTAGTTCTGTTCTAGTTCTGTTCTAGTTCTGTTCTAGTTCTGTTCTAGTTCTGTTCTAGTTCTGTTCTAGTTCTGTTCTAGTTCTGTTCTAGTTCTGTTCTAGTTCTGTTCTAGTTCTGTTCTAGTTCTGTTCTAGTTCTGTTCTAGTTCTGTTCTAGTTCTGTTCTAGTTCTGTTCTAGTTCTGTTCTAGTTCTGTTCTAGTTCTGTTCTAGTTCTGTTCTAGTTCTGTTCTAGTTCTGTTCTAGATCTGTTCTAGTTCTGTTCTAGTTCTGTTCTAGTTCTGTTCTAGTTCTGTTCTAGTTCTGTTCTAGTTCTGTTCTAGTTCTGTTCTAGTTCTGTTCTAGTTCTTTTCTAGTTCTGTTCTAGTTCTGTTCTAGTTCTGTTCTAGTTCTGTTCTAGTTCTGTTCTAGTTCTGTTCTAGTTCTGTTCTAGTTCTGTTCTAGTTCTGTTCTAGTTCTGTTCTAGATCTGTTCTAGTTCTGTTCTAGTTCTGTTCTAGTTCTGTTCTAGTTCTGTTCTAGTTCTGTTCTAGTTCTGTTCTAGTTCTGTTCTAGTTCTTTCTAGTTCTGTTCTAGTTCTGTTCTAGTTCTGTTCTAGTTCTGTTCTAGTTCTGTTCTAGTTCTGTTCTAGTTCTGTTCTAGTTCTGTTCTAGTTCTGTTCTAGTTCTGTTCTAGTTCTGTTCTAGTTCTGTTCTAGTTCTGTTCTAGTTCTGTTCTAGTTCTGTTCTAGTTCTGTTCTAGTTCTGTTCTAGTTCTGTTCTAGTTCTGTTCTAGTTCCGTTCTAGTTCTGTTCTAGTTCTGTTCTAGTTCTGTTCTAGTTATGTTCTAGTTTGTTCTAGTTCTGTTCTAGTTCTGTTCTAGTTCTGTTCTAGTTCTGTTCTAGTTCTGTTCTAGTTCTGTTCTAGTTCTGTTCTAGTTCTGTTCTAGTTCTTTTCTAGTTCTGTTCTAATTCTGGTCTTCTTTAAATCTTTTAATAAAACTTTTTCCTCTTACAATTTTTTTCTAAGTAATTTTCTAATTTAAATCATCAAATCAAATTCTTTTCTAATTTAGCCCTTTCATTTACTATAAATATATTCTTGCAATTTACTTACAAAAAATTATATTTTTTCCTTAAACTTTCATTTATTTCAATTAACCATAAAGATGACCTATAAAAAATGATTTAGTTCCATTTCATACACATCTTTACTCTACCTAAAAATCATTACTTAAGGGCACCAGCAAATTGAGATGATAAAAATCTCTACATTTTATTTTTGTCTATTTTTCACAAATTTTTGCTGACTCTAGTAAAATTTTTTATGAGTTAAATTTAAAATGTTTATACTGGTCTTGTGTAGTAAACATTTAAACAAGAAGACAGGAAATGACCAGAGCTAATAATACTCCTCCCCTACACTTAATTTGTGTAAAACTCTACTGATCTAAAGTGACTATAAAATTCCATCATTATAAATATTTTATATAAATATTTAAAATATACTAAAACATTTTAAGTTCAGGGTTTTCAGGGGGTCGAGTGTGAAGATTATAACGATGCGGGCTGATTTTCACAAAATACCCATATTATTACATAATTTTGTGTTGAAAAAAGGGAATTTATTTACAGATTTACTTTACTTTGGGTGTGATTTAGGTTTAGACAATATTATTATTATTTAATTCATGAATAAATTATGATAAATTAAAACAGAAACCCATCATAGATTTTGAATTATATTCACTTTCACAATAAAACCAAATTTAATATGGTTTATTTTTAAAGGAAATGATATTGCAAATTTCTTGTTTAGCTCCCACAGTATTTGAGATTTTTCTATATTCAATATATTTTTTTTTTCTTTTGCTTTTGTTGATTAATTAAATTTAATTTATGAAGTTCGTAGCTTACCTCGCATGTTGTGGCCCCACAAAACCTGTATCGTGCGCTGAACTGGCGGTGATTTGAGCATCTGTGATTGCACCAGATTCCATGCCCAAAGGCATGTTACATGTGCCTGAAAATAGTCGAGAAGAAAAATAAAAAAATTACATTTCAAATTATGTTTAAATGCTATAAATTATTACAAAAAAAAAAAAAACAAAACAATTTTTTAGTTTTTAATTAATGCCAAACTTTTGTAAGAATGTAGGGGAAAAAACTACTTAACACCACAATTAATTAAGAAAATAAACATCATTCGAAAAAGCGCTCATCACTCGAGGCAAAATATTTAAAATTTTAAATAATTTGAGTTGTTGGATTCTTCTATCAATGATAAAGAAGTCATAAATTTTCTCAAGAAATAAACAAAAAAAAAAAAAAAAAAAATCAAGTGTTTTTGTTTAGAAAAAATGCCCATCATTTTTTAGTTAAAGCTAATTTATCAAATTAACTCAAGCATTTATGATAATGATAAATTTTGAGTAAAATATGTTTAAAGAGATTTTTTCTAAATAGAACATTTGGAAAATAACCCAGCGAACAGAACTACAACAGAACTAGAACAGAACTAGAACAGAACTAGAACAGAACTAGAACAGAACTAGAACAGAACTAGAACAGAACTAGAACAGAACTAGAACAGAACTAGAACAGAACTAGAACAGAACTAGAACAGAACTAGAACAGAACTAGAACAGAACTAGAAAGAACTAGAACAGAACTAGAAACAGAACTAGAACAGAACTAGAACAGAACTAGAACAGAACTAGAAAGAACAGAACTAGAACAGAACTAGAACGAACCTAGAACAGAACTAGAACAGAACTAGAACAGAACTAGAACAGAACTAGAACAGAACTAGAACAGAACTAGAACAGAACTAGAACAGAACTAGAACAGAACTAGAACAGAACTAGAACAGAACTAGAACAGAACTAGAACAGAACCTAGAACAGAACTAGAACAGAACTAGACAGAACTAGAACAGAACTAGAAGCAGAACTAGAAACAGAACTAGAACTAGAACTAGAGCAGAACTAGAACAGAACTAGACCAGAACTAGAACAGAACTAGAAACAGACTAGAACAGAACTAGAACAGAACTAGAACAGAACTAGAACAGAACTAGAACATAACTAGACAGAACTAGAACATAACTAGAAACAGAACTAGAACAGAACTAGAACAGAACTAGAACAGAACTAGACAGAACTAGAACAAACTAGAACAGAACTAGAACATAACTAGAACAACTAGAACAGAACTAGAACAGAACTAGAACAGAACTAGAAACAGAACTAGAACAGAACTAGAAACAGAACTAGAACAGAACAGAACAGAACAGAACAGAACTAGAACAGAACTAGAACAGAACAGAACAGAACAGACTAGAACAGAACGAACAGAACAGAACAGAACTAGAACAGAACTAGAACAGACTAGAACAGAACTAGAACAGAACTACCGAACAGAACTAGAACAGAACTAGAACAGAACTAGAACAGAACTAGAACAGAACTAGAACGAACAGAACAGAACTAGAACAGAACTAGAACAGAACTAGAAACAGAACTAGAACAGAACTAGAACAGAACTAGAACAGAACTAGAACAGAACTAGAACAGAACTAGAACAGAACTAGAACAGAACTAGAACAGAGCTAGAACAGAACTAACAGAACTAGAACAGAACTAGAACAGAATTAGAACAGAACTAGAACAGAACTAGAACAGAACTAGAACAGAACTAGAACAGAACTAGAACAGAACTAGAACAGAACTAGAACAAAACTAGAACAGAACTAGAACAGAACTAGAACAGACTAGAAACAGAACTAGAACAGAACTAGAACAGAACTAGAACAGAACAAAACAGAACAAGAACAGAACTAGAACAGAACTAGAACAGAACTAGAACAGAACTAGAACAGAACTAGAACAGAACTAGAACAGAACTAGAACAGAACTAGAACAGAACTAGAACAGAACTAGAACAGAACTAGAACAGAACTAGAACAGAACTAGAACAGAACTAGAACAGAACTAGAACAGAACTAGAACAGACTAGAACAGAACTAGAACAGAACTAGAACAGAACAGAACTAGAACTGAGCTAAAACAGAACTAGAATAGAAATATAGTATGGAACTAGAACTAAACTTGATTTGATCCAATTTATTTCAAATTTTTCTTTATTTGAGTTCGAAATCAAAAATGTCGTTGGGTTTTCGTATTTTCCCGGTTTTATACCAAATCTTTTCAAAATGAACTTTCGGTGTAATTAAAAATAAATAAAAAAAATTTCTTTAAATTGTTGTTGTTATTTAATTTAAACTATAGTTTTTTTTTCCAAAAATTTTAAAGTTTTTTTTTTATTTTGTCATTCCAGAATTGCATCCGATTGTTTGTCGTACGGTCGCCTCCTACTTCATCTGTTTTTGGTTTGCCATTTGTGTGACACATGTGGTGTCATGTGTGCGTGCGTAAGTTGTAAGTGTTGTTGTAGCCATCAATTTAGGAAATATTTTTAGTTTTTTCTGAGTTTTCATATAGTATGCAGTTCATTTTTAGTTTTGTTTGTGAACAAAGTCGTTTAAAATTTTAAATGATTTCATGATCTTTTTTTCTCTTATTTTTATGTACATTTTGTGAGTTTTAGTGTGTGTTTAATTTTTGCATGTCACTCGTTTTTTTTTTTTTATAACCAAGTGTTAAATATGGCATGACATTTTTGTTTCTGTTAGAGATTACAATTGGGGGAAGGAAAACGAACAACAAAACAAGGATTTTTTAGCACGCAACGTTTAAGAAATGTTGTAAATACAAGGAGTTAGAGTCTTTTTTGCTTTATGAGTCAAATTAAAAGAAATGAAATCAGCAAAAATGTTGAATATTTTTTTTTTTTTTCAACATCATCATCTCCCACTAGGGGAATATTGTGTTTTTGGCTAAAAGTTGTTATTAAAGTTGTACAACAAAAGTCAGAAATTATGAAATAATCTAAGATAATGTTTGTCTAGCTGTCTACCTAAATGTCTGGCTGTGGCAGTTTTCTTATCAATTTTAGTTGAATTTCTAAAAATAGATTTGTTTTTTAAATATTTTGGCTAAATCTTAAGAAAAAGTATAAAATTATAAAAAAAAGTTATAAAGTTATAAAAAAGCATAAAAATTTAAAACATTTGTATACAGTTAAGTAATGTATCAGTTTGTAACTCTCTCCTAAAAGTATTTCTATAACTAAAACCTTTAGTCAACTAATTTCTATTATACCTTTTATTGCTAAACCATTTATCATAATTATAACTTAAAACTGTCATTATTAAGTAGATATATGGATAGATATATAATAAACCAACAAAAAAAATGTTTATAAATGTCACAGCCATTTAAATGATCAATTAAATAACATGATTATAACTTGTTCTAAAGTCAGCATAGCAAACGACTGACTACACCTAGTTAGCAGGAACATTAACATAAGAAATCTTTATATAGTAGTCTTTATATATGTCTTGTCATTCATTTTATTTAACTACATTTGACTTCTTGCTAAATTTATTACTCTTTCAATTCAATGTGATTTAAAGAAGTCACCTTTTTTTGCCTTTTTGTAACCAACGCATCACATCACATCATCATATCATTGACTCTTAATAAGACTACCCTGGCTTCACACACACACACACATATATGTTGCCACTATGGGTTGAGAACCAACTATTCAATGGGAGCGTTCATTTAGAAATAAGAGTTTCAATGCTTGTGTTTGATTCTTTAAAGGTAATATTTTTGTAGAAGAATCTTTATAAGAGGGAAGTCTACTTTAAGCAGAGGAAATATATTCAAAATTATCTGCTATAAATCCCTTGTTACCCATACTACTTTGTAGTTTTACGTAAGAAGCAAAAAAAAAGGGTTATTTCCAGTGTATCAGTTTATAAATAAAAATCACTGACATTTTTGCCTTTTTTTTTTTTGTAATTTGGCTTGTTTTTTCCTTTCATTCTTTGTTTAGTGCTGGTATATTAGGGTTTCATTCCTTTAGTAGAAATGTTGATTAAAGTTGATATGCCGCATGAGTTGATTTTCTGACACAAGCTCGTAGAGAAAACAAGAGCTCAAAAACATACTGAAAAGCTTTAGGAAAATTGTTAACTAAAGTGAAAATACACGGAGAAAATGTTAAGGGACTGTACCAGTCCTTAGCTAGTTCTGTTCTAGTTTTGTTCCGGTTCCGTTCTAGTTCTGTTCTAGTTCTGTTCTAGTTCTGTTCTAGCTCTGTTCTAGTTCTGTTCTAGTTCTGTTCTAGTTCTGTTCTAGTTCTGTTCTAGCTCTGTTCTAGTTCTGTTCTAGTTCTGTTTCTAGTTCTGTTCTAGTTCTGTTCTAGTTCTGTTCTAGTTCTGTTCTAGTTCTGTTCTAGTTCTGTTCTAGTTCTGTTCTAGTTCTGTTCTAGTTCTGTTCTAGTTCTGTTCTAGTTCTGTTCTAGTTCTGTTCTAGTTCTGTTCTAGTTCTGTTCTAGTTCTGTTCTAGTTCTGTTCTAGTTCTTTTCTAGTTCTGTTCTAGTTCTAGTTCTAGTTCTGTTCTAGTTCTAGTTCTAGTTCTAGTTCTAGTTCTGTTCTAGTTCTGTTCTAGTTCTGTTCTAGTTCTGTTCTGTTCTAGTTCTAGTTCTGTTCTAGTTCTGTTCTAGTTCTGTTCTAGTTCTGTTCTAGTTCTGTTCTAGTTCTGTTCTAGTTCTGTTCTAGTTCTGTTCTAGTTCTATTCTAGTTCTGTTCTAGTTCTGTTCTAGTTCTGTTCTAGTTCTGTTCTAGTTCTGTTCTAGTTCTGTTCTAGTTCTGTTCTAGTTCTGTTCTAGTTCTGTTCTAGTTCTGTTCTAGTTCTGTTCTAGTTCTGTTCTAGTTCTGTTCTAGTTCTGTTCTAGTTCTGTTCTAGTTCTGTTCTAGTTCTGTTCTAGTTCTGTTCTAGTTCTGTTCTAGTTCTGTTCTAGTTCTGTTCTAGTTCTGTTCTGGATCTGTTCTAGTTCTGTTCTAGTTCTGTTCTAGTTCTGTTCTAGTTCTGTTCTAGTTCTGTTCTA